CTAGCGGGCTGTGGCTCGTACGTTGGTTTGCATGCAGCCAGCAGTAACAGCCTGGTTGATCAGGCTCTGATCCACCAGGAGGCCTGGTCACAGACCGGACCGCGGGGGCGTTGACCCCCGGAACTCTCTCCAGGTAAACTCCAGGTAAACAGCCTGATGGTTCAAACTGTTAACCAAGTAGTCTGGTGTAGGACTAGGCCTCGAGAGAATGGCTCCCACAATCGTCTTCTGTAATCTACAGGTAATCTGAGATAGTGAACAGACCTATGCAAATCATTAGTCACAAATGCATTCCAATTTTAACCTTATTAAGGAAAATCCTCCCTACTAAACCTAGTAGGCATTTTCCCGCCTTTACCCATTCCCTGCCATACAGAAAATGTGGGTTCGCAAAACAATCAATACGGGGCCTAGGAACATTCCAAATACGTGGGATACGTATTGATGTGTGTTTGAGCTGTTGGTTGACAGGCAGAGAGAGGAGGGGGAGAGGGGGGGGAAGGAGGAGGTTAGAGGATAACACGTGACTATGTTCTAAGAAACCTCACTTTAGAGAAGCCTCCTCTCCCTTCCTCCCAGACTTCCACTGACGTCAATGGAAATGAACCACATTTGACTTGTTGGATTTTCTTAGGCAAAATTATCTAAACTTATTATCACCGCACGCGCCTGTTTAATGCAACAGGCTCTAAAATAATATCTTACCACCTAACATAGAAAACCTAGTATTCTATTGTCGACTTCAAAGACTACTAACATCGACAGAAGCCAAAACTACAAAACACACACACAGTTTCTACGCTTGATGTAATCCATACCCTATGGTGTAGAAATATACCTAGTTGGATGAATCTTATTGTGGCTAGCTGGTCTAGTGGCTAACGCGACGGGCTGGAGTTTTGAGACTATGACCGCGGGTTCAATCCCGGCCGGGGGTATGGTTTGTTTGCAATCGTGTCATTACGATTTCTTAAGTCTTGATGTAATCTATTAATTCATTTACCAAATTCCCACAGCTCTGAAATACCCGTATTTTTCGAGTATTCTTACTGTCGCGGCCCTACCTGAGGCCTGGTCAACCAGGCAGTTGGTGTTGGAGGCCTACCGGCCCACATATCCCACCAGAGCCTGGTTGATCTGGCACACTGATGAAGTAGTGAAATCACAGGCGCAGTTTAAGAGTGGTAGTACTGGAGAGGCTGGCCATGACATGATTCTGGGGAAATCACTACAGAGAAGAACTCTTGAAATCGGTCACAGGTATGCCCTATAGCAGGCTACGGCAACACCGACAACCACCACCTTACTGTAGTATGAATGATGCGGGTGGAAATTCACTCAGCACTTGGTCTCAGACACCACCTCGCATGACCGGGCTATCTTACTTCATTTATAACTGAGTGAAAGCTCGCTTACACGGATATTGACAAATAACCCGGGAGTGAATATAGGCAAAACTGTATGCGGTTTTTCCGGGATGCGCGCGCACACCCATAAAAAAAAGCACAGAGGCTATCTTCTGGAACAAGGGGGAAATCCCCCTTAGTCACGAGAACACACCCACAAATTTTTCTCTCCTTCCTCAGGTAGGAAATACTGAACTAAAAATAAATCATAAGAATTAAAGAGCGTTGTAGTAGACCTGGTCCATGCCAGGCGGATCCTAATCTCAGTTTCTTGTTCACATACATTACTAACAGTTTTTAAAGTTACCTAAAGTGTTCGCTTCAATAACTAAGTGGCGGTTTGTTTGACTGATCTACTGCCACACAAGTACTTTCCTATATCCTTTTCTAAACCTAAATTAAATCCCTTATCTAGAGTACTTGGTTAGCTATATTCAAAACTGTATTTATACCACCTTTATCTACCCATATTTTCATTTGTACGTGTCAATTATAATGCCAATAAATGTGTGCCACAAGGGTAAATTTGATGAGTTCCGTGAGTTTTTCTACTCCTGGAGCCCAGCCATGGGCCAGGCTCGTCTGGTGCTTGCCTGGTCAACCAGGCTGTTGCTGCTGGTGGCCCGCTGGACCCACATATCCATCACAGCCCTGGTGATGGATATGTGGATCTGGCACCTGGTGAAGATACTTGTCCAGTTTCTTCTTAAAGATTTCTACACTTGTTCCAGCAGTGTTTCTGATATTTTCTAACAAGACGTCGAATAATTGGTGGCCACGAATGTTGATACAGTGTTCTATTGTTTTGCTTACTGCACCCCTGCTTTTCACTGGGTTTCTCTCTCGCTCCAGTTTGTTATGGCAGTGTGCAGATTTCGGACATGCGAGACTTGGAAAGAATCCTCCCTACCTACTGGTCTTCCAAAACGTCACGTACACCTCACATTGCTGTCTTCACCCAAGCATAAAATCTGTACTCCAATTGAATCTTTTTTTTTTTTTTCAAAAAGAATTGTGAAATAGATAATACTATTTTGTTTTATTTTAAACTCCATCAGTAATAACTGCATCGAAGTGTCTTTTTAACCGTTTGGTCAGAGCTTTTTTCCTATTAATAAACCTGATGTTTTTAGTACACATGGACACAGCAGCGTAACCTTTCTAAAACCATAGCGAGTTACTTTCCAAGACTGCCAAAATAAAAATAACGAAATATTCTACATTTCTGTAAAAGAGAGAGAGAGAGAGAGAGAGAGAGAGAGAGAGCGAGCGCGTTCGTGTGGGGAAGCATATGAACACCGTAGTGTTTATATGTTAAAGAGATCAAGTAACAAAAATCGACTACCTGTTATGTGAAGTCAACAGTGATGGACAAAACCACTGCCGCTACGAGACATTCTGATACACGTGTCACCCAAGGTGCACAATGACAGCATAAAGGACCCCAATGGAAATAAGTAACTTTACTTTTTTGGGTTATCCTAGTTTCTCTACACATATGCTGTTATGTATGATAATCTATTTAGCTGTATTCGTGTATACCTGAATAAACTTACTTCTCCCTCTATTCTCACACATAGCCAATATTACCAAGAAAATAATATACCAATGCTAAGTAGACTATCACTGAGTAGTTACAAAAAGATGGAAGGGATAAAATAAAATTGTTCATCTCTCTTTCCACTGGAGCCCTTGAAGCACTGAAAATATGGTTCATACCTCTTTCGTAACGTAGCCTGGATTGAATATTGTGGCAATATTCCAAGTATTGATGCCAGTTATGGGAGGAGACCAGTGAGCAAGGTGAAGGAAGCTATGACAAGAGGTGTGGGCGGAGGGGCCGGCCAGCCAGCTCAGAGTCGTGCTCGCACATACACACACACACACACACACAGCCAGCCACACAAGCTCTCGCCCCTCACTACCATAACAAACTATTTCCTCTCACCACTCTCCTGGCCACCAACACACTTCATCATACTAATAACCTCCAACAATCGACTTTTTCTTTAGATTTCACCAACACCACTATCTATTGCCATACCAGTGTCTTGAGTAACAGCCACGGAGCAGGGCAAGACCTTTGCTGATTTCCCTGTCACGACATTTACCGAAGGAGAGCCTGGCATTAACACTGACTGCTCACACACAACACTTTTTCTTTCATTTTCAACACTTAAATCTTCATGAAAAAATGGAGTTGCGATAAGGCGTCTTTTAAAGAGCTCTAGAGCTAATAAGGCGTCTTTCAAAAGAGCTCTAGAGCTAACACTTAAATATTAATTTTATTTTCACTACTTTAAAAACAGATAAGAGTACAGACGCAAGTACTGTATTGTATAGATAAGAGATAAGAGTGGAGCGGTAACCCAGATGCTAATAGGTTATGGTGCCGCCACCACATCCAGTGGTAATGTCACAAAAAGAGAACACTGTGGTAGGTCTACTGGCTCATACTAGGAGCATTCTCCTCACACTCGACTCTTTTCACTCGTATATTTGACTAACATCTCTACTAAATCTAAATTTGCCTAAACCGAATCTATCGTTAGAGTTGCTTCTTGGTTAAGATATTCTCGGCTCCTTAAAGCCTAAGTAGATTTCTTAAATGCCTCGATTTACGTAATCTTAAATTCCTCGATTTACGTAATCTAATAAAAAAGTTAACCAATTGTAACAAACAACGCCACTAAAGGCACTAAACACCATAGAGGTGTGAACAGACGAGCCTGGCCCAAGGCCGGACTCCGGAAGTAGGAAAAACTCTCGAAACTCATCAAAGGTATATTAAAGATAAAGGAAACGGGGACCCACCGAGCGGACTCGACAAGTCAAATAAAAGTCTTGCGTTGAAGTCATACAACAGACTCTCTTAGCTGTTGTTAAATACTGACTTTGAACAGGAGGATGGGCTGCTATGTATATTTATATAGGTCTTCAACTTTTATATTTCAGTCATATCCCCCTCATACAGTGGATTAATTTTGTCATCCATCTCAGTGTTACCTAATGCATTTATATACATTCGTAATATGGAGCCCAAACCTGAGTCGCATAACCTAAACGAGATTTTACTAATTATGTGTAGAGAAACAGAATAACTTTTGGATTCCTGTTTACACCTCTTGATAAAACTCAAAGGAATCTGTTAGACTTATTAACGACGTTTCGAATATGTTATTTTGGTTTTCGATTTGTGCTTACCATAACTCCCAAGTCTTTTCACATCCTGTATTACAAAGGTCCATATTTTTTAGTTTAAAAGTACAAAGGTTATTTTCATTCCCGAGGATTAAATCTTTTGCGTTTTTCCACAGTGAACTTCATCTGTCGCTTTTCTTACCACAATATTAGTCTGTCACTATACAACCACAAGTAGTGGTGTTACAACACCACTACCACCAGTGGTGATGTGTGGTCACCATAGTCAAATCTTGCACAAGCAAAAGTCTGGAGCTCAGGACCAGCATGAGCTCCGTGTTAAGTAACTTACCAGTTGCCTGCGCTACCAACACCACCACCAGCACCTAACTTCAAGTACCAAACCAATTCCACCGCCTCCATCACTGTCGTGTATGAAATATCCATATTTACCTTCAGCATTTAAATTATTCACAATCTATTTAGTGTCACTGTCACCTAAGAGTGGTCACTCGACATTCACTTCGTATAAAGCCACAAGAGTTGCCTAAGCAACCGGTTGGATCACTCTCTCTCTAGTCACTAGAGTACACAAGCAGTAAACATTTTCTGGGGTATAATCTTGCGAGTGTATGAAAAGCCACATTATTACACGGTGAGATAAGAGGTTATGAGGGCGGGTGGGGGTGTCTTGCCCCCGCCATTGATAATATGAGAGGAGATGAGGTGGTGCAGCTCACATCCTCACCGTACACACGCCGGCCCAACACTGATGATCATGGCTCCCATCACACGCTCCTACCACCACCCCCTACTCCACACGCACGCTGCCAGTGCCCACCCTCCACAAACACTGTTGGTGCCCCCACACACGCTGCCAGTGCCCACTCAACGCTAGTGACCCCATATATACTTTTTTTTTAATGTCCAACCAAAACACACGTTGCCATTCTCCCCCCCTCCACCCCCACGCACAACGTTGCTAGTGCTCATACACACATGCTGCCAGGGACACCCCTTTCCCATCACACGCACACGCTACCAACTGATTTAGCTCAATCCAGGGCTGGTTTCCACTTACTACACGGCGCTGAGAACTTCGCAGGTAAACCAGCATACAAGTGATACCACGATGCAGTTCCTTCTGATCATTTATTTCCTTTAAAACAAGTGCTCCTCACCTCAAGATGACTCCGCATTTCCCTTTACTAGAAATGGGGTATCCGTATCTCACTTGAGAACCCTCACTAATTAACCGATTAGGCTTAGTCACTTCTTTGAATCCTCTGGCCTAATGGCTCGAGACAGCCTGAACAACTGGTACAGTATCCCAAGGAACCTCAATCAGCACTGGTAGTCAACCTACCTCTAATCTGGCACGCTGAAGATAGATGAGGGGCATCTTACTCTACGGCCTATTCTTCCTGCCACTTATAAGGACAGCTACAGATAGGGATAAGACACTAGCCCCTCTTTCTGAGGACTTCGCGGACACCTTGAAGCAGGGCAGTCCGTGAGCGAGCACAGGGTGTGGGGGTGAACAGAGCTTGAGAATGTACAGAGAACCTTTACTGCACATATAAGTTCCATCAAACACCTTAACTACTGGGAACGCTTGATAGCACTTGACTTGCACTGGCTGGAACGCAGGCGAGAGATGTATATCACAATCTACAACTGGAAAATCATAGAAGGAATGGTCCCTAATCTGCACACAGAAATCACTCACTACGAAAGCAAAAGACTGGGCGGGCGGTGCAAAATACCCCCAATGAAAAGTAGGGGCGCTAGTGGTACAATAAGATAAAACACAATAAGTGTCCCGGGTCCAAGACTGTTCAACAAAATCCCACCATGCATAAAGGTAATTGCCAATAGACCCTTGGCTGCCTTCAAGAGGGAGCTGGGCAGATACCTAAAGTCAGTGCCAGATCAGCCGGTCTGTGGTTCGTACGTTGGACTGTGTGCGGCCAGCAGTATCATCCTGGTTGATCAGGCCCTGATCCACCGAGAGGCCTGGTCGTGAACCAGGTCGCAGGGGCGTTGATCCCGGAATACCGTCCAGGTAGGTAGGCAGCATTTGTGTGCTGCTACTATGGGCGGGAACTGGAATTTACACTTAAGGTTACATATATTCTCGAAGAGATTCTTTAGCTTAATTTCTACACTGAATACAGGTACAATTATCGACAATATGTGAGGTAAAATGTCACATTAGTTGCACGCGTTATTTTACCTAACACACTGAATACAGTTTAACATAACACTATAAAGAAACGGGCCATATTAATGCGAAAGGGGATGCCAATTAAAGAAACTTATGGATTGATACTCAAACTTAGTTATCTCATAAGCCTGCAGATATAACCTCGACATTCGGCCTACAAGTTCCAACCATGTTTTGGGTCCGCTGACAGCCAAGGTCCGGCTTGCTCTGCCTCTCAATGCCAACTATATTACTCCCCATGATTGCTGGAATAAGTGTAGAAGTCTTCAAGAGTAAACTTCACCAGGTGCCAGATCAACCAGGCTATGATGGATATGTGGGTCAGCGGACCGCCAGCAGCAACAGCCTCGCTGACCCGGCAAGCACCAGAGGAGCCTGGCTCATGGCCGGGCTCCGGGAGTAGAAAAATTCTCGAAACTCATCAACTTCTTCCTACATAAACTTAAGGAGACAAGTTGGTAACCAACATCACAATAACAAGAGGACCCAGGGAGATATAATAATGGCATATTAAATATTTAGGAGATTAGATACAATGGATATAGGAGGATATTTGAGATGTGTGAAGAGGGAGCCAGGATTCACAGATGGTAGCTGAATGTGCATATCTAATATAGATATATTAGGCTGGTAAGTGAAACACATTTTAGGAAGTGGTGGGAGGAAAACGTTAAAAAATCAAAAGCAGATAAGACTGAGTTTTGAAGGCAAGAATTCTGTGAAACTGGCTGAAAAGAATGAAGAGTCGGGGGTGGGGAGGGAATAAAGTTGGCAGCCCCTGCTAACACAACTTGGTAGGTGAGTAAACATTTTCTGGTGGTAGGATCATTCACAACAGTCCTAACTAGAAAGGCAGTCGGAGGAGCCAAACTCAATTTAACATTTTCAATAGGATGAACTCCAATGTACACGCAATCATCACATCCGCAGCAGGCAAATACTCTGGATGCAAAAGATTGAGAAAGTTAAAATCTTTACCCAGGAATTTCAATACAACTATAATCCACTTTCAAAGCCATTAAGCTGCCTTAATTACTTCACCGTTGACCTTCACCGCTTAAACTATCTAAAGTATAGGAACAATTTTATTTATGAAATTTAGCCTGAATGACATTCATCTGGGAAAGAGATTTCGGTGATCTTCCGAAACTATATTACAACCCGACTGACCAGGACCACCTGCAACAATTTGTCAATATTCTTCTTGAAGACTTTTGCCTTTGTACCAAGAGTATCATACACTGTACTAGAAATCGAGAAAGAAGACTGGCCACTGGTGAATTATGCTGGCACACAGTATCTAACCAATACTTTTACTTACGAAATATATCATTAAAAAGCAGTTGCAAGCTCAAAAATTGTTGGTCAGAAGAAAAGCATAAATTATCAGCACATAACTGACCGGTACAAATAATGGCAATGACTGATACTGCCACCAACACCTTTAACACTTCTATGACCAGGTTCGAGAGCTTTCCCATTTCTTCAGCCTAGTGTCTGCCTGGCCACAGACACCTATAGCCCTCAGGACCATATCCATAACATCCCAGATGATCAGGCTGATCCTACCTATTTGCTGTTGGATCTTATCTAGTTTCCTCTGCGCCGATAATGTTTATTACATTTGTGGTATAGTATTCAAGAGGCGCATATTAGTCACTGTCAGCTTCCTCTAACAGTGCTTAAGGCACACCTGCTTTTCACTGGGTTTACTCTACATTTACTTCCGTATCGCTCTCTCCATAAAATGCTTGTCCATGGAGTCCTTGTAAATATAATTTATCTTCTCCGTCCTAATAAGTATATTCCTAAAAATCTGAGGCGGTCATAATTTAAATGCGAGCAGGAGAAAGTTCCATGTAATATTCTAGATCGGACACCTTACTCATCTTAAGAAAAGTGAGGACAGAATGGTAATTTAAATGTGATATTCTAATACTTCCTCCGGGGTACGAGTTTTATACAGGAGAGAGAGCTATATCATAATCTACACTTGGAAAGTTCTGGAAGGAATGGTCCCGAATTTGCACACACAAATAAATCCCTACGAAAGTAAAAGACTGAGCAGGCGATGCAAAATACCCCCAATTAAAAGTATGGCCGCCACTGGTACACTAAGAGAAAACACCGTAAGTGTCCGGGGCCCAAGACTGTTCAACAGCCTCCTACCAAGCATAAGGGGAATTACCAATAAACCCCTGGCTGCCTTCAAGAGAGAGCTGGACAGATACCTAGTCAGTGCCGGATCAGCCGGGCTGAGGTTCGTACGTTGGACTGCATGCAGCCAGCGGTAACACCCTGGTTGATCAGGCCCTGATCCACCGGGAGGCCTGGTCGTGGACCAGGCCGCGGGGGGGGGGGGGGTTGATCCCCGGAATAACCTCCAGGTAGACTCCAGGTATCCTATACGCCTCAGCATTAATCTTTTATAGAGACTGATGTGGATTTCAAGGAGGGTTCCATGGGAATCCCTGGTTTGCAGCAATGAATTTATGTTCGTCAGTACTTCAGTAAGGTTATGACCAATGTACTGCATCTAACATTTCTCTTGTTGGAGATTAAGACACATGTGCAACAGTTAGGTATCTTTACTGTAGACAGCAGTAACAGTGGGAAGGTAACGATGATGTGATCAGTCCATCAACCTTGCAGAAATAGTGAGGGGTGGTCAATCCATCAACGCAAACACGGATATTTTACAGGAAACGTTTTGGTTCTGGGACCTTAGTCATTTTAGTTCCTTACGGTCTTGAGGATCCCCTGTTAGATTATTCCATTTTCTAGTAGCCTTCGTTATCTGCTGGCACAATATGTACTTTAAGAGTTCACAGTTAACACACAATTGGAGAAAAGAATCTTAGATAACGTGTCAGTTACTTTTGGACTGTTATCCCTCTCAATGGAGGATCCCTTATGCCGGTTGGGGGGGGGGGAGGTGTTCATCTAAGGAACTGAACCTGTGCTCCCTTCCTTGGATCAAACTTGAATGCCTTTAATTCTCTGAGGAAATGGGAGGGATTCAAGGAATAATACTAAGAAATAATAATAATAATAATAATAATAATAATAATAATAATAATAAATATTTAATAAGACTTAAATTGGGTCATGACAAAGTCGTGACCCGAAAACGATCTTTTAACCATCTCTCTTTTATTAGTGGGTTAATTAAACTCGACTGAGATTGCATCAGCCAGAGTATAGTAACTTTCACTCTAAATGTTCTCTAGTACGTGTTTGTTAGTCTAGAGTAATTCCACATAGTATTTTAAGTTTAAAATTGTATTCTCTTATCAACCAAGAGATGGAAATCACATACAAGTTAAAATATTTGGTGAATGATTTTGCAGACTATCTAGACAGCTTACGATATCCCTCTACCTTACGATACCTCTACCCTTGTTGATGAATTACACACGTGCAACATTTGGGTATCTTGGATTCG